GGATAGAACAAAGAAAAGAAACTATGAAGGAGAAAGAGATCGTATGATAGGAGAAGAGAGAGAGAGAGAGAGAGAGAGAGATCGTATGATAGGAGAGTATGACTCCGGTAACTTGTCCGTATCATTCTGTCTGTTTAAGCCTTTCTTTTGCATTTTTATGTGAACCATTTCTGACACTAAACGTTTTGTGTAAAAAGGTTCACTATCTAAAATTTTGACATTCATCCAATCAAAATTATGGCTACAATTTATTCTGTGATCCGATATTACCGAAGGAGAGCCCGATTTTTTCCTAATATCCGATATATGTTCCTGCAATCTGGTCTTTAATCTCCTCTTCGTCTGGCCAACATACGTAGCCTCACAATCCTCACATGCTATTCTGTAAACTACATCCTGATGTGCTAAAACATCTAAACGATCTTTCCCTCTTTTAATGTAGTTTCTCAATGTGTTAGGGATCGTGTAAGCCGTTTTGCAACCATTTCTCCATGCTATAGGCATAAAACTCTCAGAAATGCCTCTAACATATGGAACAGCAAAATAATTCTGTTTATCTCTAATTCTATTGTATAAACTTCTATCAATTCCATTCGTATTATTATATATATGAAAATCCAGTCTTTTCTGTATCGTCGAAAAAACGAAACCTAATGGGTAACAGTTCTTCAAAAAAATAATTATCATAATCCTCAAATTTTTAAGATGAAACCTAGAGTGAGAAAGCAAAACTATTCTATCTACTGCACCAACAATAACACCTTTCTTATGGCACATCGGATGGTGTGACCAAAAATTAAGGAACCTCCCTGAAAAAGTAGTCTTATAAAATCTATCAAAAATAATTCTATTGTCCTCCACAATAACTGTCGTGTCTAAGAAATTCAGTCTACCTTCTATGCCAATCTCCATAGTAAACTGAATTCTCTCATGCAAAGAGTTAAAAATCCCTTTTATTTCGCTCAACAAATCACTCCGAGCAGCAAAAATTATGTCGTCTACATACCTAAAATAAAAAAGAGGCTGGATAGGACATCTCTCAATAGCAATAACCTCTAAATCTTGCATCACAATGTCCGCTACAATCGGCGAAAGAGGTGAACCCATGGGTGTACCAAAAATTTGTTTATAAAATTTATTATTAAACGAGAAGAAAGTGGAATTTAATACTAAACCAACCGCTATAAGAAATTCTTCTAACGGAATCCCAGTATTCTTCGAAATGTGTACTCATCTTTTCAAACTATGATAATTGCAGAAGTCTTATTTCTCGAAATGATCGATATTAATTAGATGGTGGTAACGATAATAGTAGGATAGACCGGGGAGTAAAGGGCCACTTTTGACATTTTTTGCTATAAAATAAAGAATATTTAACTCACACAGATCGTGTTGATATTTTTCGAAACTAGAGTTCTTTGACTATAAAAATACATACAAGAAAGTATGCATATTTACCCTTCATTACAAAGATATCGTAAATTTTACAGAGGAAGTCATTCGGCACTTCTTACCCCATATGTGGGGCAAGAAGTTCCACATAATGGGGTAAAA